GATAATTTGTAAAAAATTAGAACCATGTGATCATAACATATGCTTCCAGTACTATCCACCCTTATAAGGGACATATATAGACATCGTTTTCCAATATTTTTTAAAAACGGGTAGTGAAGCTCTATCAACCAATTTGCCTTTGGTTTCCTTTCTTTCTTTCTTTCATATTTTAGAATGTGTAAGATTTTTATTCATAAAATCGATTGTAGTTTAGCTGAATCTGGCAAAGGGGTCAGTAGTCAAGTGACTAGAGGAGGCCATCTCCAAGCGAGTAAGACGAGGTGCGAAGTGACATGCTTCAGAACCGAGGTTGCATGACCCTCCTCATCCTTCTGACTGGCCGTTTGTTCCGATACCTCAAGTCATCATACAAATTTGATTGTGTTAATGGTCAATGTGCATAATTTAGCACTAATGCACCTATGTATGCCTCATTCAACATTGTCATAAATAATGCTTTCCATACGCCGAAGCATCGAGTAGCAACTTGGACGTGGTGGGGTCATCTGATACGTACGTGTATTCAGCATCATAGTGTGAATGTCCTATAGAAATATTATGGAACTTCGTTTGATAGAATGCTCGATTACCTCTTTTCCTCACCATTTTAGTCCAGCTTTGTTCCCTTCCTTGACAATCTCTTATCAAATGCTAAATTTTTATTTTGTAGCTCTTGAACCCCTTTCCTACCCCAGAAGGAATATAAACCAACTTTGTTCGACCTCTACAGTCTCGTGTTCACTTCTCCGTCTATGCCAGTTCTCCGCTGTACGCGATGCCTCTTCGTCGATTTGATTCTTCAGCCGTCTTTTCATTTAGATGCTTTCCTGTCATCGAAAATAAAATGTTTGCGCGTGCCAGATTTACCGCAAGAATTTATCGGTAAGTTGTTGATCTGTTACTATTCAAGTGAGTCCATCCATTGAAAGTTCACTAGCAATCCTGTTGAACGATTGATTTATAGAGTACACGATTAATGTGTGTGCACGACATTTGCCAAATGTTATTTGGTGATTTGTTTCTTCTCCTTTGTTGCCATCATTATAGGAATGAGTTGTCGCTGGTCGGAAGAGCATTACAATGGTTCAATTGCGTTCTGTGTTCCGCGAGTCTTATACTTAGTACTTAATTGGGGGAGGAAATGTAGTTGCAAGTGTGCTCTATCCCACACGCATAGTCCCTGTTCATCCCGGGTTCAATATTCGCATAGGCCAGTCAAGTCCTTCATCCCTGGGGCGGTCAATTGGTACCAGACTCGTCTGTGAGGATAAAGGCACTGACTTGTACATCAGCTCGCCACCACAAATCATTGTATAGACCACACACGCATTCAATACGCCACTATTATTCTGAATTAAAGTCGAGTGCGGGGCGCATCCCTCAGACGGGATTGACTAGCCCGCAAGGACTTTGGGACTTCTAGTACTCTCAAGTGTAATTTTATATATCCGATACATGAGTACTGGAAACACCGCATCATCCTATCAGTTTGAAGAAAAAATTACCTGAAGGGAAGGGGATACAGCAGATTATGGTCAGGCCCCAGGTTACATGGACACTGGAAGCAGAAGATGCTTATAACATTATATATTTATTTTCCTTCCAAAAAAATACTGTAAGATAGCTGTACCACAACCAGGTTGTACTTCTTTATACTTGTTACAGAAAACTAGAAACAACTACAATCAATTGTTTGCTGGAAGCAATAGAAGATTCGAATCTTTTTTATGACAGTCGTGGGTGAAGAATGGTGATTTTCTAGTCAAGGTTTCTAGTTCTAGTCAAGGTTTCTAGTTGATTGGCAGGAAAAGCTTTGGCGAGAAAAACAAACGGCTTGAATGCAGCATGAAAGAAACGTTCAACAATAGTTTTCTCAAACTCTGATTGCCCATTGCTATGGCCATTTCGATTGGGTGGGCTTTCAGCATTGTTGAAGCCATTGCGTTGTGCCCACCCTTTCGTTGGTGCTTAGTTCCAACCAGAATAACTATGCTTTTTTATTATTTAGCACTGCACTACTTTCACTCTCCTCTCGAAATATTAATTAATTTGGTTATTTGAAGTGCCTGATAACTATTCATCGTTCATGGGTTACTGTAATTCAATAGCTCTCGCGGCACTGATCCCTCAGTGCGATCCCACTTCTCTATGGGGAATTCCATCAGCATGTTAATGAATCCTAACAAGTGGCTCTGGATATTATGGAGAACTCTGTACGGGAGAAAGGCTGGTTCAACATGCATATACGAGAAGTCGAATAGAGCAGAAACTTCTGATCGCAGAGGTTCAAATACTGCTCAAAGACTCTTTCAAGGTTAAAAAGTTTGGGGTCATCGCCCAGGAGTCTACACCTACTCTAGCGAAAAAAATCAAACACAGAAGATAGTTTTCTGTCGTGGGCTTTGGTTGACTCCTACGGGGCAGAGAACAAGTAATCATCTTTTGTTTCAGTGATCACAGATTTTCTTAAGAGGGCCAGTAAGTCTTCATTGGTTCCTGTTCGTAATTGCAGTCATAGCATTTCTCTCGTTTAGAGCATCCGTGAAGAAGCTTGACCATCGTGCTGACGGCCGTGCTGGTGTTCATTGATGCTCCTTGGGATCTAGTCAGTAGCCGCCCTAGTGCAACGGTCAACACAATACACAATACAGCATAACGTGTCTGGCTAAACTAATCTTCGAATTCTTAGAGACAGCATCGGCATCCCGTATCTCCTTTCGTTGGCAAAGCCCATAATTACGGATTCCTCTGCTCTTGCGCGTATCGGAAATTCCGTTTTTCATGAACACAGTCTTCGTTTGTAACTCGTAAGCAGTTCTTTCACAAGCGTTGCCGAATCCAGCTAGAATTCGTCGTCGTCGCCTGCTCGATGGTCGTTGCTGTCGCGGTGTCGTTTGCAAAGCAGAGATGATTCAAGTAGCGGCCTTTGACCGTCACTCCCAAGTCATCCCATTTCAAATATGATGTTCTCGAGGGCGGCACTGAAAAGTTTGGGAGAGCTGGTATCGCCCTATCGAACCCCTCTCTTCACGATGGCAATGACTTGCTAAATCCTTGTCATGAAGCTGTCGTAGAGCTCACGAAATACCCTTATGTACTGAGTAGGTACGAATTGGGTGCCCAACGCTTCAACTTCTGGTTCGACAGTATCTAAGGCGTTCTTTAAGTCAATGAACGTCAGACTTGCCTGCCCATTGTTCTCTCGCATTACTTCCATGAGGTACTGAACACTCTCTTAAGCCCTGTTGGCTCGCACAGTTGTCCTTCATCTAATATTATGCCAATCCTGTTGAGGATGACGCTTGTGAAAGTTTGTAGACAGGCAGATTGGGCGATATTTGCCAATATTGGCAGCAGCTCCCTTCTTATACAGCAACACAGTGTTGCTAGTTTGTCTTGGAGCGGGACTTCGCATCCCAACAGGTACCGCGTGGAAGGCCTGGCCAGGGTTCTGGCGATAACTGGTGGAAGGCTTTTCTGATATTTTGGTTTAATCTAATCGAGACCAGGCGCCATACAATTTTTCACACTAAATTGTAAATATTAACTATTTTAATTGTTGTTCAACTACTTTTGTGAGGGCAAATAGAGGTTTTGCCTACACAAGAGTCACAATTTTCCTTTCCTTTATTGTGATATCTTATTGAAATTGTATGTAGTTATATTTATTTTTCTCTCTTTCGTTTTGTTTCTCTCCGTAATGGTTGATTACTGCAAATTTTCTTGTATTGTGTTTTAGTAGAGGCACTACCCTATGATCATCTCACGTGAGTAGCTCCGATTCATCGCTACGACTGCTTCCGACAATTATCCGGCTTTCGGATATTTCCAGACAAACCCATGCTACTAATTCTTCATGCGAATGGGCCCTCAATAAAGTGGCCTCCCTTGACCAATCCACTCTCATCATTTATTGCTTGAGTGCTGTGCCTTCTAACGGTGGAACTCCTATCTGGTTGTCTTATTCTCTAGCAAAACTTCATGTTATCTGGCACCAGCAATTATATGGCAACAAAATCAGTTGCCAGGCTCAGTACCTTCTCTCTTCTCAGCAGCTTCAGCTTTTTTGAGTGGAACCTCACTCGGCTTAATAGAAACAGAATGTTGCCCTTCCAGTCCATTATTAGGAAGTACAACCCTACTTGTGTGCAGGAAATTGAGAGTGCTCCCTTCTGTCGGTCGCTTGCAGGAATTTCGGCACTAGCATTTTACTTGTTGTCTCTGTTAGTGTGTCGGGGGCCAGTGGATCCAAACGGGTTTGAATTTAACCCTACTGGGCTTAAACTTGTGGCTACCCTATAATTATGCTTGCTTTTGACTCCTTTTTCGAAGGAGAACCTTTTTAATGTCTTCCCTTGAGCTCAATAATTGCAATCCCAGGATTTTAAAACCACGGATCATTATATAACCTATACTACGAAAGATCTGGGGAAATCCAAGTTCTGATCCATTTATAACCGAGCTGTCAGTATTCATCTAGCGCAGCCTTCCAGAAGGCATAACCTCAATTTCCATTACTATGGCTACGTCTCTTTAATAATTTGGTTGCTGGTACTTATTCTTTTATGTTCCCCTATCCCGAAGCTCCACGGGCTTCAGTGTCTTATTGTGACCTGGCTTTGTTCCGGTAAAGCCCGTGACCCTGGGGAAAATTTTAGTGGGTTACCCTTCTTTGCGCTTATCTGCTAATTCTTCCCTTATACTCTTTCTATATTAGATCCTGACAAACAGAGTGATTTCGCTAATCAGAACAATCCTTTCCATTCGCATCTCTCTTCTATCCTCTGAATTTTTCCTGCATACCCTCAAATGGACTGTATTGATCAATCCTCTTCTCTTTCGTCTCTCAAATCAGTCGATGGAACTCCAGGATCAACCCTAATCTCGTCCTTGCTCGGTTTATCATTGCTCGCAGCGGAACGAGGCTCGTCCGCCTATGTGGCTAGGAAGTTGAGCGACACTGGCCGGCGGCCATCTGTCATAAACAGACGACGACGACGATGACGAGAACTACGATGCGAGATCATCGCCATCGAGCCCGTGGTGCTCCGTCAGCATCAGCCGCCCACCTATATCCCGACGGTGATACTAGGCTTGCCGTCCAAAATATTCTGGCTTTGCTACCACCACCAGCGACGTCGCATGCCCTGCTGGCTGCGATGCTGTTGAACGGCCTTCCGAAGTTCCGCGAACTCGTTGGCGCTGCCGATTCAACGACTGACGCATGGACTTCTTGGAATCCGTCGATGTTGCCTACAGAACCGCTTTTCGGAATGGCAGCTATCGACAAAGGGACATTCAGGTTTGCAAACTGTTGTCATTTACGAACAAACTCACTGGATCCGAAATCACACCGACTTTTTCAAAATAAAACCATTATTACCTTAGTTAATCTTACCCTTCCTTGGGATTCACCATATTACTTCATTATGAGAAAAATCAAAAGTGAAGGCCTCCCACCTGCACGAGATTTTTGGTCCTTGCTATGTTTGACTATTTTGCACATATGAAATTAGAACTTTTCAACCGGTTCCCCATCGGTTCTCTTTTCAATATCGACCTCTAGAAAGTAGTTTTTCTGAGTCCGCTCTTTTTCCTAATTGACAAAAAGCTAGAAAGGGTGACTCTGCGTGATCGCTTCGAAACGTTGGCAAGGACACCGGCAGTTTGGCATATCAGGAGCTATGGCGAACTGTTTGTATACCAGAGCTAACAAATTATTTTCTGACGATTAAATTAGTTTCCCTGGATATCAAAAACATGAACCATGGACGAAGGCTGAGTGGCGGATGAACGTGGAAGCTAAGACAGACCCACCTCCCATGATCAGGAGATCGGTCCCTGGCCCAGTACCCGCCTAGGTTCACCATGCTTTCCATCCCTGCGGGGTCGATTTCATTGTGTTACACCAAATTTTCCTGGGAGTCTAGAAACACCAACACTTACATTATCCGATCTCCCAACTCGTTGTCATGATCAATAATGTTCTCAAGCACCACTAGAAAATTGAGTTGAAGCCAAACGGGTAAGAGCTTCGAGCATCCAGAGAATTAAATTAAATTAAGTAGCATTAGTTTCTTTGGAATAATTGAGCTAGTATAACAGACTTTTGTCTTACAGGCAGTCGCGCTCGATTCCTTCAAGCTCCTGTGTTTGGGTGGAGCTGGTTCTTATATTTTTTCCTTTCAACTGAGTTGAGACTGTTTTTTTTTTCTGGAAGACGCCCAACTCCTCTTATCAGCTTTACTTTTCTCTACATACATTGACTATTCACAACAGCTTGCTTAGATTCATATTTTTCATTTTAGAACGTCATTCAGTAAATAAGTAAGTAAGTCCCAAAATCATAAATTCATCAAGGTCACGCACTTCATTTTTTTTCCTGTGAAATAGGTGGATGTGAGAAATGAAAATGAAAATTTTCCCGATGAAAGCTTCTATGCTACTTGCAAGGTTAGTTAGTAGAGTACTGTTTCTGTATGGTCAATTTTTTAATAACATACGTATTCAAGAATAGGAGAAAATGAAAAGTTAAGGAATGAGCGTCTGTCATCGCTCAATTCTTAACTTTCATTCTCTCGTATTCTGGTAAGAGGAGTTGGGCTTCTCCCAGTAATCTCTGCAGTGTAGTTGCCTCTTCTGGCCAAGATCCACATCTCGTTCTTTCTCTGATGATTTTCTCATGGTCTATTAAAATCCAGTCGACCTAAGTTAACCGGAATTTAAAGTTTATGCTATGTGAGCATTTTCACCTTTCTCCATCCATACATTTATATGGAAGGGTTTTTGGAATGTCTCGAGGAAGCAAATTTTTGACTTTTCGGTTCCATTTTGTCTACCATTCCAATGCTCCTCATCGTGAGGCCAAAGTCCGTCTCCAAAATTCAAATAACAGTCTTGAACCGACTTTTTTGAAGTTTTTAGGAATTTCATTCTCGTTACTCGTAATCTACAATAGTAAATGTTGATATGTTGGCTGAGACCGTTCTATATTGTTTTCTAAAAGAATTCGTATGGAAAGCTGTGGGCAAAACTTCAATCTTGGACCGGACTCCTACTCGTGCTTGTGCCTTATCCCCAATACTACCGGCAACTAGATTGCTTTCATCTTCTTCATCAGGCTGTCGTTTTCACAGAAGCAACCTCGAACCGTCATTTTTTTTATAAATGGCATCTTTCACCAAACAATAGCAAACGTTTGCAAAATCATGAGCACGCTAACAGAAATCTTAGCTCCATAAGCACTGTCGAACGCTGATCTGTTCGTTTATAAGAAAAAATACGGACTCTGAAGACAAGCCTTGGTAAAAAGGCTCTCTCTGAGTGAAGGACACACCACTGGCAATGTTGAAGAGGATTCTCAAGTTAGCACCCCCACTTTTGCAGTGAGAAGACGAGTTGTACGCATCCAGCAGATCTCATTTGCATCCGGGTACTGACCTAGAGAAAAGTGCTGACTTGATAGATTCTTCATGGTGTGACCAACAGTATAGGATTCACCCTGGTTATCATTTAACCCTTCCTTTTTCTCCTTCCAAACCGGGAAAGTATCCCTAAAGGCGTGATAGCCAGAATTGAGAGCTGAGTCTTCTGACTGGTGAAGGTAAGATTCTTTTATGCAGCGTGCTCCGAGTTTCCTTCGAGGACAAAACCCACCGACCCAAGTAAAATCGGGCCTCATGCCAAAAAGCGTTTTTGTTGCTACCTGGGATTCGCCAGAAATGTTTTATTACGAGCAGGTCATGCAGGGAATCACCGTTACTACTAAAAGTTGCGCCATAAGCTTTAGGAACCCTCAAAAATGTTCGAGATAAAGGTTGAGATGTGCATTTGCTCACCTTTTCAAGGAGGTCTATGAAGGACCGAGAGGCTTCGGTCTATTTGGGTTCCCCGTTCATCCTATTGCCTTTGAGCATGAAAAAGAGCGGGCGGTTTGTGTATTCTATTGGCTGGGAACAAGCACGCTGTCCTCTATATATGTAAAAACATTAGCACAATATAAAGGGAGAACCCTTTTTAGTGTTGATCAATCCCGCTTCTGTAAAGCGCCCACGCATTCGACTTCCATTGTGATCGTAGTGGCGTTTTGAGTGGGTATGTGGCCGATCTAATGACTTGCGTTGGTCAGCCAATGTTCAAATCTATGCTTTCATCAGTTGCTCTCATCTCTCAGACAAGTCCGATACCAAATAGCGTATTGTTTGGACAGGGTGGGTATCGATAAACAATTCGGTCCCTGAACAGTGCGCTATGTACGTGCAGCGAAACCACCGGCGCCGCGTCAAGGAGCAAAGTCTAAAAGCGCTGAATCGACAACTCATGTGTAAATTTTCTGAGTACATGACGTGTGCACCACTGCATCGATGCTCAGGAAATGAAGGACTGTTCTATTCCATGTACCGAACTATGACAGCATGACTTGGCTAAGGATTAGGCACTCTAAAGATGGATAGTCAAACCTTTATTAAGCAAAATCGGGCAGGACATGAATTTTGGGCGGTCCTTCCACTTCTTTAGAAGCAACGTCTTTTCACAACCTGAGCCTTTTTTCCTATAGGTCTTTTCTCATTTGGAAAAGTGCGTAGATGGCCCTTCTTGTCATGATAATATAGGAATCGGGGAATGTTTTGAAATTTTCGTTTTAACTAACTTGCCACACATGGCACGAATACTAAATGAATCAACTAGAAGGTCTGGAGATTGTAGTGATGCACAGCATTGCCTTCGCAGTCCAACTTGTCTTATTTACTTTATTTCTTATGAAAAATTGTGAATGAAGTTAGTTAGGAGCATAATCGTATGTGAAAAATGCAAGGAAAACACCCTAACGCTAAGGTACACGGGACAGACGAACGTAAGCGATCGGGCGTCATAGGATGACTCATCACGCAGCACATTACTGTGCAAGTCCCATTCTTGTTTCAAGCCTCTTAAGCCGTTGTTCCTCGCAAAGGATGTAAAAATATGAGATTAGCAATAGATCTTTTTAATAGTGCAGCGATGCTTGCGCGGCTGTATATGAGGTACAGGTTGATAGGTGTATCGAGCTTCCCACCATCGGTTAAGTGGTGACCCGATTCTCCATCTAGAATGATGGGAATTCTATCCATCCTGATCATCAGGTTGGGCAGCTGGTCTTCTCGTTACCCACACAAACGCCTCAATTCCACCTCTAAACCGATTGTCACCAATAGACTCAGGGCTGTGTTGCTTCGGCTCGCTTCTGAGCCCCTTTGTTCACCACAAGGAATTCGGAAATGAGTTTTTGGCTAACAACCCCATCGGACTTCAATGAGTAACCTGCTAGCCATTCTGAGAGCTTGAGAAATGGTTGATCATTGCTCCTGGGTTGCACTTTATCCTATCCCCCTCAGTCGCGGACGAATTCATTCACAACGAGTCAATTCGTCTGCGAGCTCCATTACGCGTGCTGTCTTTAGTGGTGTGTTAAAAACAGAATTCCTTGAGAGAGGCTTTGCAATGAAGAAATGGTCTGATTTAATGGACTTTCATTTGGACTCGCTTTTTTTCTGATCATGACTACATCACAAGTAATTTTGTTTACCAGTTTTGTCCTATTCTTACTGCATTAGCAACACAGTTTGAGTACAGCTGAAGGGTAAAGTACTCGACGATAACTGATCCCCGTAGAGTGCTACACTTTTTCTTCCAAGAGGGTCGCAAAGCCTCTTCTAGAAAAATATGCTGCCACACCTGGGCCGGTGTCGTGTCACAGATAGGCTGTTTACGGCCGGTCGTAGTGGAACCGACCCTACGCTTCGGCTTGTCCATTACCAAGAAAATTTGTGGCCCATGCCTCTCTGGAAGCGATTCCTTCCCTCACATCCCATGATAATTGCCTCGCAAATTAAGTCAAGGTCCAATACTTCGAGCACCTATGGAAGCTTTTTAACCCCAGCTAACACCCCTTTGGCAACCATTGTTTACGGCCTTCCTTTAGGCTCCTAACTTGATTACCAGGGAAAATCCGTTCCCCGTGCCGATTTCTCCTGTCTGAGCCCTGTCTGAACTTTTCTGTTTTCTTCTCCAATACATTAGAGCTTATGGAGCAGATATGGGTACTGTAGTTCCCTCTGTACGGTCAGATTTCCTTACAGTAAAATGTCTATTCCATAGGAGACTCGTCTGAAAAGCTCGAAGGTATGTTGGTGGAAGGATTGATCGACGCCAAGCAACGTTTTCTTTTTCTCCTACTGCAACAGAGGAAAACTGACGGCCTACCGTCCTCCCCACCAACCCTCCCCCCCCTAATCTTCACAGTTCACACTATTTTTCAGTATTCCGGGATGTTCTCAAAACTACTCCCCCTACTAGTTTCTCGTTTTTTGGATCTTCATTAGTGAAGGACGACAGTAGAGTGAGCTTGTTACCAGAAATGGGGCGTTCGTCGACGGCGCGGACTCCCTATTTACGTGCTTCAGGCCTCCACCTCAGGCTTTTCGACGACGTCGTCTCACCGCTCGGCCCGCCTTAATTAACTCATCGATGCCGCGGTTCCGACGGGTCTTTCTAGCTAACGTTGACACGCACAAATCGGCGCCTAATGGTGCCATATTTCGTAGGGTACCCGGTGCGACCCGCACCTTTACTATCGCTCATGACGTCGCTGCTCAAGCACTCTTTAGGTACGGTCTATCCACTACAGCTTTGTTTCCACCCGATCGATATATCGATTGGAACCGTCATTTTCATTTTTTTGCACGTAAAATATGTCGTGATGAATAATTTTTTTATCTTTGTGTATATTGGGACTTCGTGCCAGGACTCCCAAATTCACGGTATCCCTTCCGATGAGATGAGTCGAGATGAGCCTTAGTGATGTTCTTATATCCGTATTCTTTGCTTTTCGTTTCTCACCTCTTTGTCGAGTGAATTACCCGATTGTTTATAAGAAGGAGCTCTCCCACAACCACAATCATTAATACCGATAGGGTGATTTCCATTTGAGCCGTGAAAAACTAAATTAATCCAGGAGAGGAGCTCAGGCACGCGACTAGCCGGATCTATTCTGACCGACGAGTAGATTCAGCTTCTCGTTGTCACTAGCTTAATGGGATTACTATGATCTTTTAATCTTGAGAGAGTCCTACTAGGTTTACTCCCCCTGAGTCCACTCTGCATTCCCGTAGATAGCTTTACATCAGAATTTAAGATTCTTAAGAATCGAAGTAATTAAGATTCTTAAGAATCGAAGTAAATTTCCTTACCTAAGACCTACCTACCGAAAACGATTTTCTTTGCTGCTGTCGAATGCAAACGAGGGTCCACAAACATTAATGCCTTTCAGAAATAATGATTCAGGCAGCTATGCACACCTTATCCATCAAACCCACCACAGTTAGAAAACGTCCGGGCGTTCATCAAATTCATCAACTACCCCATTAAGAAGGGATGAGCCTACAGCCATTTTCACAAGTTTCAGTCAATATATCGATTGTTGGGACATTAAAAGGGGATGATGTCTGAACGCTCCACTTTTATTTCTAAACTTACTGCCACTAATATCTGCTATGCTCAAAATGTGAAGTTGATTCGTTACTTCAAAT